CTTTGGCCTACATTTGTGGTACCACATCTACTTGATTCTTCAAATATATATATCTATACCCACTAGTTGTTCCCAAGGAGCATGTCATCCATCATCCTAGTAACCCATGTCTTATAATCCCACTAATGAAAAAATGTATATCGCAATTTTATGATAGATCGTTTTTTACTTTTCTTTGTCTGGCTAAATCTATATTATCTTTTAAATTTTCTTACAAAAATCTATTCTTTTTTCTAAATATTTTATTATTGCGACCGAAAAATCGGATGGTCCCCAACCTTTGAAAGCTCAGCGTGAGATTTGAATATTAGGGTTTAGTACAATTTGGAAGCCTAATTTATGCATTATGGTCCCCATAATCTTCATTATATAAGTTGGTAATAGTACACTAATATATGAATTTTTGAAAAACAAAAGTGACTAACTATTAATATATTTTAGTGCAGCGGACCACATTTGAATGTGAACCCATGAAAGGTCTATAGCGCTCAAGTTTTTATTACTAATCTAGTACTAAATCGCATTAACCCAAATTAAGTTGTTTTTAATTGGCAATGGACCACTACTTTAGGAACGTATATACATACAACTAGGCACTTACATTATTTTCTATAAATAAGCATAACATATGTAAACGTTTATATAGAATCTCAAGCATTAATTAGTATACATTATATATATACGTAAAAGTACGCCTCTACATGTACATTTTGCTATCTTATATACCAATTTACCACCCCTATAGTAATTTGGCATTCTATGCGAAAATCAATCTTCGTAGATGTCTTATGTTCAAATTTATTTCAACAATCTACATATGTATATAAATAGCGTCTAGATATATGAAAAAATAAATTAAAAAAAAAATCGTTTTAGACAATCAAATACTCCTTCTGTTTCACAAAGAGTGTCATTTTAGAGTTTTGCACACAGATTAAGAAAACATTAAACTTTTTGTTTTTTCTAAACAAAAACATCATTAACTATATACCTAAACATAATCTGCCCAATAGTAAAACAATATGCAGAATACTAATAGTCATAAAACATAAAAAAATCATTAAATTTTGCATTGAAAACCTAAAACGACACTCTTTGTGAAACAAAAATAAAACCTTAAAACGACACTCTTTATGAAACGGAGGGAGTAACTTTTATCAAACGTAGAACAAACTCATTTAGTGCACAAAGGTTTACCTGGGAGTGGAGGATGTTGACTCTTTGTTCCTCACCTCATTTTCTGTTGGAAATAGATAGTTTTGTCTTTAAAGATATTATCAAACGTCGTTCAAAGATCAATAATACTTATCAAAGATAAATAGGTACTTTTGTCTTTGTAGATATTATCAAAGATCAGAAAAAATTATTTTTGTCTTAAATCTATTTATATACTCAGTTTTGTAATTATGCTCAGTTTTGCCAAAACAATATTTTGTTCTTTCTAAATAGAGCTTAACAAAGATCAATTTTTTTTATTTTTTTATTTTTTATTATTAGAATTGAATTCTCAATTCATATTCATAATATTAGGGCCTCATAAATTATGAGGGCCTCATAAATTCATATTCATAATTATGAGGGCCACATTTAAGAGGAAATAATTGTATTTAATTGGGATATCAAATGACAATGGCTGGTTTTCTAACTAAGAAATGTTGATTTTTCAACATTGCAAAAGCTCATATGAAGCCATAGACGGCCAAGTTTTAAGAAACTGATATGAAATTGGGAGTGTTTTTTTTTCTTATGCAAAAGGATCGTTCGATTTGAAATATATATATATGTTTGTTATAGTTTGAAGAAGTTGAAAATTTTAAAATATGTTTAAAAGAATATCACTTGGATAGAGGATGGTATTCTTAAATTTAGCACTAACGTAAAATTTAACTTGTTCAAAAGAAAAAAGTGGTTATATATCCAAGCTACAAAAACGTTTAGACTTATTTCTCTAATTGTTCCAGGGATATTTAATGAAATTTGTATATACTTAAAATGCATGCCAACTAAAAAAATTTCATATCTACTTAAAGTCATGTTCTATAACTAGATTGTTACTCGCGGTACACCGCGGGTTAATTATTTGTTTTTTTTTGTTTTTTTTTATAAACTGATGAATTTGTTGTATATAATATTTTTTGTTGTACATTGTGAGTCACATGCGTTGTAACTAAAAATGAAAATTTTAAGTTGTATTTGTTTTGTTTAGTGTTTAAAATTGTATAATTGTATTTTGATTTGTTAATCCCAGGATTTCACCCGTGATATATTATCCCGTATTAATATCAATCCAAATCCGACCCGTCCCACCATATAATCATGTCCCGTAAAATTAAACATCATTTTGTTATTTCTTTTAATAACACTTTTATTTAAAAGACATATAATTCGAGTCAATTTAAAAGTTTGCTTTCAAATAGTTTCTATAATATATATATATATATATATATATATATATATATATATATATATATATATATATTTTCTTCAAATTAGTGTGTGTTTTTAGACCAACCCGTAAAAATATTTTAAAAATGTATATTAAAATACTAAATAATTGTATTTCGATTTGTTGATTTTAAGATTTCACCGTGGTATATTGTCCCGTTTTAGATAATTGTAGAAATTAAGAAAATATCTAAATGACTCAATTCCGGGTTAGAGTAAAAAAAAAATACGACCTGATTAAACGCGCAAATTTGTTTTTCAAAAATGTTAATATAGATTGTACACATACTTTTTTCTTCATCGATTGAGTAATATATGTCCGTTTTTAAAAATTTGAATCATAGCATATGCAGAAAAAAATCGAATTTTTTTATTAAGTATATATATTTTATAATAGTTCAAAATAATATAAATATAAGATCATATAAAAGTGAAATGAGAATCATATATTTATGTTTTAATTAGGTAGAGAGGTTTTAGGAAATTAATTCAAATTTGTTATATTAGCATTAAATAATCATATTTGATTTCTATATCTATAAAAATTGTAGAGAATATGCCATAAATAAAGAGTTTAGGTATAGTAATTAGTTGAGAAAATCTATATTTTTTTAGATTTTATTGATTAATTTTCGTTTTTTAGTTTTGTCAAAAATAAGGAAAGATCCGATTGAAGATTTCCGGGTCAAAATTAAATAAAATTTGACCCGATTAGGAACCCCAAAAAGTGTTGCAAAAATGTATAGTAGATTATTATCAAGGCTCTACTAAAACAAATTTGGATTTCTCAATTTTAGAATTCCCGAATCATTAGTTTACCATTAACCAATCTAATTCCGTGATATTTTTTTATATATTTAAACCCTTCTTAAGTTCTTTTTAACCTACATTCTAGACAAGGCATCCTCATTTTCAAAATCCTAAACTCATCTATATTTCTATTTTTGGCCAAAACCAAACCACGGAGATTGTCTTTTATAATTATTTCCAAACTCAACCAAGTTGACTGTTCTATTTTGAGATAATGAGATTCCTAGTTTTTCTTTCTTTTCGCTTTCTCTCATTTTTCGTTTATGTAATGTTAAATCGGACTGTTTAGCCCGTTCTTCTACATTTTTATTTTTTGATGTTATTTTTGTAGACTCTTTTCCTCCTAATTGGGCAACCAATCAAGGAGTTATTTATTAATTAATGTGTGGTTGAAAAAAAAATATTAATTATATTTTTAATTTTCAAAACAAAAAATTATAATTCGTCTGTAGTGGTGGATTAAATTCTGGTTTAAACTAATGTATCAATTTTGACGTTCAAAATTTAGGATACGAGAGAAAACGTAGAATGCACTTAAAGTTCTGCCTATTTGAGTTAATACATAATCCCTCATATAACCATATAGATACTTATTGCAATAAACATGTCATGAATTAATGATATATCACATTCATGTAATCATGTTGCGTCTTCTGTCATGGTATTTGTATTCAGACCAATGACTAAAATGATCCATTGTAGATATGGTTTAGGTAAAACTGTCAACTGTGAATCAGTATGTTTAAAGTAGTTAACTTTGGTTCGCTTATTGTAAAATCATTTGCAATAAAATATAAATGAAAAATTTTCTAACACTAATGGTAGTATGCAAAAGAGAAAAAGCGATAGCACATATTAATTTTATAAAAACACTTTTAAAAGTATAATAAACTCATTTAAAACTCTCCAATTTGTTCCAATTTGGTAGTCCAGTGAATCTACAAGACAGCTCAACCTGAACACATCAACAATGCAGAAGTTTAACCGTAACACATACACCATGACATAAGATGAAACATGGTAAAATCTCTGGTAAAGTTTTAGAAATCGAAGATGAATATATGTCTGATTCAATTTCAAACATATTTTTATTTTAAATGCATTTAGTAAGTTCATATTTGTTATGAAAGTACAAAAATAACACGACTTAAATTTCCGTAAATAATGAACATAATGCAGTTTTAAGCAAAAGGAACATAATACAACACAAAAATAATTGTCACACCATTGTTCTATTTTATCTTTAAATAGCTCACACTCTAAACAATATTCGATTGTTGCTTTCTTTCTCAGAAAACAAAAAAAAATTCTTAGTATTTTGTTATTTATTCATTCATTAGATTTCTATATTTTATTTATAGATTTAAACGTGAATATTAATATAACGTTGACTACAATAAAATAAATAGTTGTAAGTTGTAAGTTGATCTTTCACGTCTATACTTTTTTTCTTCTTAATCTCATTTCTTTTAGTTCCATTTAAGGGTCTTAAAATTTTGTCTTTAACGTACAAATAGATGAATTGTTATCATGTGGTTGTTAACATTGTGATAGGTCAAGCTCTCTATTAATATTTTAATATGCAGATTTTTTTTTTATAAAAAAAATATGTATCTTCTTATCCATTCTTATATTTTATATCATATATAGTCAAAAGAACCAATGGTATCACAGCAGCATTTTTTAATAGAATTTTTATCTTGATAATTACAGGTTCAATACTGAATTGGAAGGAGCCAAACTCCGTACGATTAAAACCAGCAATTGGGTTAATTATTAACTTCATTCACTGATAATTATAATTTATCGTCAAGACTATTTCGGACACAAACACATAAATACTTGTTTTCTGCTCTCACTTTCCCTAAATGTATCATTTGATACTTTCTCTTTTTTCTTCCATATGCCTTTTGTGTGTATATATATATGTATATGAATAAGCTCACAAAAATAGAAAAATAAATCCAATCTTGGCGTAATTTCTCATCAAACTCTACTTTTCTTCTTTTTAAGAAAATCTAGGGTTTCTTCTTCTTCTTCTTCTGTGGTCAAAGTTCCAAGTTCTTCTTTTAGCTCTCTCTTTGGTTTCCAAGAAATCTGTGAAGAATTTGTAGATATGGGAAGGGGAAGGGTTCAGCTACGGCGGATCGAGAACAAGATAAGGAGACAAGTGACATTTTCAAAGCGAAGAACTGGTTTGGTTAAGAAAGCTCAAGAGATCTCAGTGTTATGTGATGCTGATGTTGCTTTGATTGTCTTCTCCCCCAAAGGAAAGCTCTTTGAGTACTCTGCTGGTTCCAGGTTTGAATCTTTCCTACGCTATTAATTTACCAACTCATTTTAAGATCGCTATTTATCTACATATATATTAGCTTATATTTCATGTTTGACATATTGGGGAAAGTAGTAGGTTTCACCTAGTGGAGATTGGTTTGAAATTGGCAGAGATTGTTTAATTAATTAGATCAGTTTATAGCCATTTTTGTTTAGTTCTTGCATCTCTAAGTTAGAGAAGATCCTAAAAATGAATTGATTGTACAATACTATATATTAAATCAACAGAAGTGATTAATATAGATGATCCCATCAAACAATAATTGTGAGATATTACAGTTCCATAGATTATATATTATCCAGAAAAATATATGGTACAAGAATATAATGTGCTAATTAGGCAAACATAATTACGAAATAATCTACGTATTAACATAATTTGATTCTTGAGGACATATGTTGAATATACCATGAATAAGGAAAGATCTTTCTTTTCGTTTCTGTGTAATTCTTCAACGTTCTGGGGATAAAAAAAAAACTATCAAACAAGTATAAAAAGTGAAATTTGAGAAAAATTCTACAAATAAGTTTTAGAATTAACACCTCTAGGGTTAGGATCAAACAGGTAGATCTAATGATCAAAGGTAATTACCTTTGGCACTCATGGGAGATGGAAGTTCATTTTATTTATTTCAAGGAATATTATAATAAATTCAAGTAAAATGGATTTTAAAAAGGGCTCTTGAATCAAAATAATTTTAAGGTTCTTCTTTAGCAATAGATGGTATTTACATTTTACTTAAAAATAAAATAAAATGTTGACTAAAATTATTTGTAATACAAAAATAAGTTTGGTGGGTTTTAACTAACTGAACATATTTTGGCAATAACAAATACTCCCTCTGTTTCACAAAGAGTGTCATTTTAGAGTTTTGCACACAGATTAAGAAAACATTAAATTTTTTGTTTTTTCTAAACAAAAACATCATTAACTATATACATAAACATAATCTGCCCAATAGTAAAACAATATACAGAATACTAATAGTCATAAAACATAAAAAAAAATCATTAAATTTTGCATTGAAAACCTAAAACGACACTCTTTATGAAACAAAAATAAAACCTTAAAACGACACTCTTTATGAAACGAAGGGAGTATTAGTTATCAGAGAATTTAATGAAACTAAATTAACTATAAATAGCCATTCAATTTTTTTGAAAAATCAATCAAATATCAATCTGACGATCTTTTTTTTTTTTGATATGACGGTCTTACATAACCTAGTAACAAGATAATACAGTTTATAATAGTAATTGTCAAAACAGAACAGTAAAATACTAGGAGATATAATCTGTGATGACAATGTCTAAATTATGTCCTAGGTTCATGCAATTTCTAATGCTATAATCTTTTTGATAAATGGTATCATTGGTTCAAAATGAACAACACAAAAAAAAAAAACAGAATTATCTGAATATACACAAATATACTAAAGAGGGAAAAGAAATCTACTATAAATAGGAAAAGTCAGCTTTCGATCATGATTGTAGTAACTAAAATAGTAAACATGGAACTATGATTTGATTATGTTAAAATAAAATTTAAGATATACAGCTAAAATCTAGTTGGAAATTGGAAGCATGGAAAGCCTTTATCATAGAGCTTTGTGCATTGCTTTGTCTTTTTGTTGGTCGAACCTAGGACTAACCTCGATCGTCACATGAAAATATACAAACCCATGAAGCTACTTTCCTAGCTTCGAGGCTCTTAAGTAGTATGTTCAAAAATGAAATTGCTTGCAAACATGTTTTAACAAAATTTGAGTAGACTTGGCATATCGATTGATATAGTCTAAACAATACATTAAAGTAATGCATCAATTGGTTTGCAAATGTAGATTAAAGTTCTCGATAGTGCTTCAATTAATTTAGAAATGTTTCAACTAATAAAGTACAAAAATGATTATTCAATATGTTCAATGTATTGTTGAATGATGATAGTATATGCATCGAGTGTTGATTCTTGTTCAATATAACGTTTTTTTTAGCATGGGGAGAATTCTTGATCGATATGAGAGATCTTCCTACGCCGGTCAAGATATTCCTACACCAAATTTGGATTCACAGGTTCTTAAGCACATTTAAGACATGAGTATACGAATCATTGTTTATGGTAAACTTAACTAACTATGTTTCGATCTTTTCATCGTTATAGGGAGAGTGTTCAACAGAATGTTCAAAGCTCTTGAGGATGATTGATGTCATGCAAAGAAGCCTAAGGTTAGAAAATTATTACGAATGTATCATACAAACATAAATACAGATATAAGATATCTAAATATATGCAAGCTAATAAATTGAATCTTTATTTCATATTATAAGACACTTAAGAGGAGAAGAGGTGGATGATCTAAGCATCAGAGAGCTTCAAGGTTTGGAGATGCAACTTGATACTGCCCTCAAGAAAACTCGCTCTAGAAAGGTTCTTTTTCTCTATCCAAACACTATATTTATACCTTCTATACATGCATGGATCATAATTTGTATATACAAATGTGTATATCTAATATTGTGCAGTGTGTGTATGCATAAATATACACAGATATATAGATACACTACATCTAATCACATAGTTATTGTTTTGGTTTGGGAGCACAGAACCAGCTCATGGTAGAGTCCATAGCACAGCTTCAGAAAAAGGTAATACGCTAATGTAGAGACAATCGTTGTTATGGTTGTGCCTAGGCCTAGGGGTTTGAGTTTTCCGGTCGGTTTCGGTTTGGTTCTATTAGGTTCCAGTTTTTTTTTGGTTTTAGAGTTTAGCCTTAGGATCCATATATGTACAAAAAAAATCGGTTTGGATCCGGTTCTTTCGGGATTTTATGATCCATTCGGATAAAATTTTAGATATTCTTTCGAGGTAATGTTTTGTATTTAGAGTATTTTTGGTATTCAATCTAAAAAAACCTAATATTTTTAGTTGTATAATTGTATTTAGGTATTTTCGGACCAAAAATATTTAAGTTTGGTTCGAGTTCTTTCCATTCTTGAATTTCTGATCCATTGGGGTATTTTAGAATTTGGTTCTTTTACCTAGGACTAGTTGTGCCATGCAAAACTCTTGCGTACCTGCCTGTCCTTTATTATTTTCAGGTTGGTAAAAAACATTATACTTGAACTACTCTATATATATATATTTGATCTTCACAATTAGTAGTCTTCGATCTTCAGAAGTAAACACAAATCATATACTAGATCTAGAACACTCGAGTCAAATTGAGTTAAACTAATGAACATGCGAATTTTCTTTTGATTGCATAGGAGAAGGAACTAAAAGAACTGAAGAAACAGCTAACAAAGAAGGTGAAACTATGTTAGAATCCTTGACTATATGTATATATAATTAATTTCTTTTAATGTAGAATTCATTTAACTTTTAAGAGAGATTAGTCTAGGTTTTAGTTTGAAATTTTACAATCAATTACATATTCTTTAATATATGATTGAATGTTAGCCAAAATCGCTGAATTGTATATAGTAACTATAACAAGTACATGAATTTGGCAGGCTGGTCAAAGAGAAGACTTTCAGCTGCAAAACCTCAGCCATGACTTATCCTCCTCGGCAACGCCGCCATATGAACCACCGCACGAGCTGCCCCCACCAATATCTCCTCCTCCTGTATCTTTTGGGTACTATACAGTTTGATTTCACATAGCTAGCTACGAAGATTAATTATACAAATTATAATCCGTTACTGGTTAATGATAGCTATCATATTTATAGTAAGGTAACATATTTATAGTTGAATGAGTAACCTACATAAATATTTATTTTATATTTTATATGAAATGAAATGATAAACTACTTACAGGGATGCACCAAGGAATGGAGTGGGAGAAGTAGCTGCTGGAACCCTAATTCGGAGGACTACAACGTTGCCGCATTGGATGCCCCGGCTCACCAGAGAATAGAGGTCCGAAGGCCATCTTGCTTTGTTAATTTTCAGTACTAATATATAGAGTAATGGAATAACTTCTTGGGTGAAGTAGAACCAATCCGAATATAAGAAAAAGATTTCTGCTTGTTAATCTTAGAACCGTCATAAGGTTCCATCAAGTTTCAAACTTCGAAGGAATTAGAAACATTGTATGCCTAATGGGATTTTATATATTTTATTTATGATTTACACTTTACTGTTTGTGAAAATATAATTTCAATCTAATGAAAAAGAAGAGAAAAAAACTATAAACTATATTTTGTTATGACTTATGACAGATTCATTTCTATAGAACTACGTTAAAACTTTTGATTTACTTTAGAAGCGTTATCCACATTTTTTCTAATACAATTACGATATATTTTCAAAGAGTCACAACACTTTATAATTTTTGCAGCCCTCCATTGTTTAGGACTTGGGAATTTCTAATGTCCATTGTTATCTGCTAAAAGTGGGAGTTGTGACTGGGAAAGAAAAAACGTCGTGGTGGCATGGAGAAGTCAGTTGCTGAAACTCTTGATGACTACTTAATAATCTTGCAAGTTTGTATTCGTTTGTGCAATATACCAGTCAATTAGTCATCCTAGTCTATAGCCTAAACTCATTATCCATGTTTCCTTTACTTGCATTTAATTAGTGTCTATAGCTAAGTATAGTTTTGAAACTTCTTACTTTTACTTTCATGTTTAGTGGACAGAAATTAAAAAGTAAATTTTATCGTCTTAGCTTCTGATATCTAGTTAACCTAGTGTGCTCTTCCAATTTTTCGTGGGATCGACAGTTATAATTTTTTTTTTGGTGTTCCGATCCATACGAATGTAAATTATTTGAGAAGTTTTGCTCGCTAATTAGAGACTCAATCTATACCGGAGTTCAAATTAGAGTGTTTAGGATGTCGTGCTTGTTGTCCTATTCGCCACGACAAAGTTGTATCCACCAGCCAAGGAGGGCTTCAAAATTCCAACAGACAGCCAAGCTGATAAGAGAAGAGTTGTAACCAAAAATTCATTTTAGCATTTTAGATTCAAGATATGCGGAACGAAGCTGCTAAGGTACACGCAGAGGCTTGCCATACATTTTCACGAACGTCACTTACCTTCTCTAGAATTGCGTTGTTCTTCAAACACAACTCATGAAAAGGTGTGGCTCCAATATATAAATATATATATATATATATTTAATTTGATTTATATTTAAATCCTGTTTTGCAAAATAAATTTAATTGGATTTATAATATAAATTTTATTTTTTCATAAATCATCAAAATACATAAAAGTATTACTACATTATCCATTTTTTACATAACATCATACAAAGTTTTAAACAAAATAAAGCTAACATCTCCTTTATATGTTTCGCCTTCCCATATCATCCCCGTCCATAATCTCTGTAATCATGTGTACAAAAGCATCAACATATATCACAGTCTTCAATCTTGTTTCCTCAATAGTTTTTATCTTAAAATCAATGCTGCATCAAACGCCAAAAATTTAACAAATTCAGAGAGACATCTAGAAGAAAATAAAGAGATAACTCATACATATATCAGTCTCTAATTTTTTTTACATGGTAAAGAGATTCAAACTCAATAGTGGTGATGAAGCTCATGGTAATAATATTAAACAAAGAGGATGCTAAACTAATCCATGTATATAAACCAAATAACGATAAACACACCACACCATAGTAAACACACCACACCATAGAAAACACAACAGTTTTAAAATCATCAGAATAAAGAAAAGAAAAAAGCAAGGTATTTATATTCTTATATTCTTAAGAAAAAAGCATTCGTCCTCAACATGTCCCACCTCTTTCTTAACAGCTCCTAAAGATGAAGAAGAATTGATTTCCACTACCTGTTCTTGTATATTCTGCTCAGCTATCTGTAATAACATTAAAACAAAGGTATTTGGAGCAGCAGAGTATTAACATTATTTCCACTTGTCTTATAAACTGATCTCTTCATATCACAAAGAGAATACATAACTACAAAAGACAACCTATGTTTTTATCAAAATGTAAAACTAATTAAGATGTTAGAAATATCAAAAGCACCTGAATTATCCTTCCTTGTTCTTTATTTTGCTAACCATCAAGTCATCCACAAAAAATCCATAATATCAAACGGAGAAATTAACCAAACCAAGCACTAAAATTCAAATGTACATGTCATGCGAGGAAGATACAATGTTAAATTAAGAAACTTAATTAGTGTTAGAAGTACCTCGTGAACAAATTTTGATCTAATCTTTTGCCTTATATTCATCCTGTCAAACAAACAAATACAGAAACATTAATTAATGCTTAAGAAACAAATCTGTTTTATCACCAATCTAAACATTGGTTTCTACAAATAAGTGATTTGGACTAGAAAAATGAAACCAAATCTGAACTTAATTGACAGATGATGCACTTTCTATATTCAAGTGGTGTATCTAAACGAAATGGTTTGACTTTCTGGAGACAGCTTTTGATTTGTTTATAACCCACAAAACAAACACAACACTCAAGAACATAGAGACATCATCATCAGCTTATGGCACGTTCAATATTTGTCTAAGCCGTATAAGCATTGCAAGAATATAGAATATTGAGAGAAGTATACTAGCCTGGCTCCACCAAGTGAACCATCCATGAAGCATAGTGATTTGAATTAATTTTCAGATTCTTGGTCACACAATAAGAAAATATTAGTTAAAATCTGTGGGCTTTAAATAGCTAATGAACTAAGAATTACAGTAAAAAAATATTGCTCACCTCAAAGTGTCATTTCATAGGATTAGAGACTCCAAGGATATAGTCCACCATTTTAGACTACAAAAGCAAAGGTCAAATTTTTACACTCAATTAGCAAACATGAAAGATCATCATAGGAAGACATGTTGAGAGAGTCGTTTCTTAGTTTGTCTCACAGTCAATTCGTCGAACACCTTGTATGCACAGAGAACTCTAAAAACGTAACCCCTTAGAAATACAGTGAATAAAATCAATTTCAAAACAACAAATCAAAGCACGCATAAATTTACAAGCATGAGAGACGAGAAAGTGGAAGCATACCAGGCTATTGGTGGATTTCATCTCCTTGACAACTTCCTGGACAATGAAGACGGGAGATCTACGAACAGTGGAGGAGTCATTGAGTCTGCGGGAAGATGAAGGAACTTACTCGAATCAAGGAAATAGAGGGTCATGACCCAATCATTTATGTAGTGATCGCTTCAGTTTAGCCGCCGCTTCAAGTCCTTTCTGCTTCCGTTGCTTCCTCCCAACACGAGCAGGTGGTGAGACTCGTTCGAACTTCTTCTCCTTCTTGTCACCATCATCTGGTTTCCGGTCTCCTTACCGATTCAATTCATCTTGTGCGAATTCATCTCCTTGACACATCAATTCAATCCATAAGGCTTAATTTCATCAAGAAGTGAAGAAGAGAAGGGAGGGAGGAGAAGAAGATGTGGAGAGAAGACGAGGAGGAATAGGCTAGTACCTTTAACGGTGGAAGACGGAGGAGACGAGGCCATGTCAACGGAGAAGGTATGTGGCTAGGCGGTGGTGTGGATCTAGAGATGAGAGAACTTTTTTAGAAAAGAAGAAGATGAGTAAAAAGACTTAAAACAAAAAATTAGAAATTGAGTGTTATGAACTAGGTTAAACGAGTTTTTGTTTTTTTTTTTTGTTAAGTGGTGAGCGTTAAATCTAATATTTTGGGAAATTGTTGGCGGTCATAAGTATTTTTACTTCCCGCTTTGCTATTATTCGTCTTAGCGTTTTTGAAATGCTGTGATATAGTTACAAAATTACAGATACCATCTTTAATAGCAATTAGGAAATCCGTGCTATCGCATAGTGCTATCAATGTACACTTTTTTTGTAGTGCATGCTAAGGTACACGCAGAGGCTTGCCATACATTTTCACGAACGTCACTTACCTTCTCTAGAATTGCGTTGTTCTTCAAACACAACTCATGAAAAGGTGTGGCTCCAATTATTGACATTTAACAGTATGACAATGTTGTTCGAACCAAGACAAAGGGATCAAAGACATGTCGTAGTTTCGGCATAACTAAGACTTGCCTTTGCCTCTCCGAATCTAATTGTTTTGAGTAAATTTTATTCAGGCAGTCCTAGTGGAAAAAAAATCTCATAAAAGGATTTAAGAATTCAAGTTCTTTTACCTTTTTTTTTTTTAATGTAATACCAATCTCTCATTAAAGGATGTTATCCATGATATATTAACATATTTTAAAATGAATGAATTTCTTAAATCAAACTGGCGTTAGTCAAAATAAATTTGTTTCTTTCCGGGAGATAAATAAAAGAAAAAATTGTCATATGGCAAAAGTGTGATTTAAGAAAAATTTTTTAATAAAAAAGGCAGAAAGAGAAAACAAAGTATTTCCCTCCATCAGTTTTTGCTAAGACAATCTTGATCTTTTATATCCATAAATGTCACGGTTTAATTTAGACCTTTATGTTGCCATTTGTCCGTTGTTATCTTTTATTTTTAATTTATTATATATTTTCACAAGTCAAAGATTTTATTTAATTTAGTGTAACAGAATGACAGTAAATACTAATTTATGAAAGAAAAAAATCAATACAATAATAATAATAAGGATCTCTCCAGATCCGACACCTCACTGTTTTTGGATGTTCTCACGCTGACACCTCATTAAAATTATCATCCAATAAGAACATTTCATTAATACAACTAAGCATTATATTCCAGTAATAATACTTCTCCGATCCACGTCATACTGTCTCTCTCTTCACATATTATTTTCTTAGTTTTTCCTATTGGCCCAATTTGGTTTAGTTACCAAGCCCAATTCGTTTATTTCTTTTTAACGTGTTCAATTGTTTTTCCTCTCATTTATGTTTAATCACTCACTCACTAATACTATGCATATTATTATATTTTGTTGACCAAAATCACATCTCTAAAAGATAGTTTTTCTATTTTCTTTGTTTTAATTGTGAATTTGTGATTATATGTATTAATTTAAATAATTAAATCTTTTATTTTGTTGGGAGCTTTTAATCTTTTAATTTTAATAAAAATTGTTTATTTATATTAAATACTACTTTTGTTATTTTTATTTTTACTTTTGTTATTTTTATTTATATTAATTTTATTTTTATATTAAAATCTTTTTATTTTTTTGGGAGTATTAGTTATTTTTGCTTTTGTCTAACAGAGTCAAAGACAAGACAACAATGAAAATGAAGGTTTAACAAGAGATGACCACATATGAAAATGATAAACAACACATATCAACAATTGAGAAAGATGACTGGATAAACCTTGGAAATAATGAGAGGAGATTAAGGGGAGGAGATTAAGGGGAAGAAGAAGACCACAATTATTACTTTAATATAAAAATATAATAAATCTTGAACCAGTGACTAAATCGATTGTAGTCAGACCGGTGTTACTATCAGATCAGATTGGGTCTATAAAATACTCCCAAATTGACATTGAATTAATCGTACAAGGAAAGATGCATGGTTGATAATAATCATATTGATCCCATCTAATTCGAGAATCAAATTATTTTATAGTTAAAAAATTGTTTATAGTGTTCACTGTTCTATGTCCTTTGTTTCACGTATTGGACATAGCTAATCTTGCAACCTTTTCGTAAATTTGTCTTTGGAGCTACAACTACTGCAACAAGGGAAGAAAAATTCTAGCTAAACAAATAAGGGAAGAATATCCTATATCATTCTGGTTAAAATTTAAAACCAGTAATCTAAGATTCTTTCCACAATACATTTATAATTTTTTTCTTTGGTATCTATATAATTTTTAGTAGCTAATTATTGTGATCTAATGATTAAAAAAGATTTTTTTTTTTTTAAAAAAAGACATGTTAAATATTTTTGGTATGATTCAAAATTTCAAAGTATGTTTGTATACCATAAATATCGTTAACATAAAGAATCTAAGGTTCTTAAAGTATAATAGTCGCTGAAATGTATTTATATATATCACAATATAGAAATAAATCTAACATTTGTAAGAAGTTAAACATATACTAAAATATAAAATAAAAACAAACATATACTAAAATATAAAATAAAACAAACAAATATAAAATTAGACAGAATTAATTTACGAAAACTACCCGCAACGTAAACCATTTGATGCATTCATCTCATGCATATTGTCCTCTAAAAACCGTTTGATTTAAACAACTTTTTGGAAAATAAAAATATATCTAAAAGAGCCCCGCAGCGTAGCGTGGGTGTCGACCTAATCTATATTTAAAATTTAGAATTCTGTAGATGACTTCTTTGAATTTAAAGTGTTGATTCATTGAATTTAATCAAAGGGTTCTCAGCAAACAACAAAATTAAAAACAAAATCCTTCAGATCACCATTTTTTGCAACATTACCTTTAATTTTTTTGAAATGCAGATCCATCATACATGAAATCAAAAGTAGTATGCAATATTATATGTCTTCTGTTACAATTAAAATTATACACGTAAAATTTGTATCTTATTATAAACCGCAAGTGCACATGCAAACACAGTAGTATTTAGAGATCGAATCCACAGAAACAGAAAAAACAAACATTAGACTATATATTTAAAGTAAAGCTCATAATGGAGACGGAACCACACAGTATGGTGCAGTTCCAATAGTAACGAAAAATATACAAAACATAGAGAATAGAGAAATAAACAGAGAATATAAAAAACTATGTATTGTCGGTTATGATTATAAAGGATCCTGAAATCAAATTTCTCTTATGAATGACCCTAATGGCGTTTTATTGATAATTCATATGAAGAGACTACAGAGATCCATAAATTTTGGTTAGACTTGTTCTAAGTAACCCAATCAAGCATTAAGAAAAAAATACAATAAATTCACAAAACACAATAACAACAACTTACGGCGATAAATATATATGATATATATAAAATAGAGAATAGAGAAATAAACAGAGAATATATAAAACTATGTATTGTCGGTTATGATTATAAAGGATCCTGAAATCAAATTTCTATTATGAATTACCCTAATGGCGTTTTATTGATAATTCATATGAAGAGACTACATATATCCATAAATTTTGGTTAGACTTGTTCTAAGTAATCCAATCAAGCATTAAGATAAAAATCTAATAAATTCACAAAACACAATAACAATAACTTATGGCGATGTTGGTTAAGGAGGTTCGCCAATCTTTAAAAGATCCATCAATTCAACACTATTTTTGGTGGTTTGAAAAATTAGATCATGGACAAGAGATCAATTTGCCTAATTCATTTAGGGCTTTAAGAACATTAAAGATCAGAGAACAACAATATAAATCATAGCATGAGAAATATATATCTAGGTATTTCTAGCGACATCTCCTTTGGAATCCCTAAACTCTTTGATGAGACTACTTACACATGACATAAGTACATATAATCATTGTAGAAGAAGGATCAAAAGCTTAAGTGGAATTTTGAAAGCTTAAAAAAATTAAATAACATTGAAGAAGAAGAAAAGATGAACACTTTAAAACTACAAAAATCGCACAAAAAAGTATGCTCTGTAGGTACAGAAAGTTTTAGAATATATAAGCTTTGGGACACAAACCTAGGTCCACCTTATTGGATCATCTCTTCTCTTTACGCATTTTAATCAATTTCTTCCTCTAAAAACCCATTTCCATGCCGCAAGTCTAGAAACCTGAAAACACTAAAAGACATCGAAACTATATGTTCTCGGCTAAAATACTCGATAAAATAAAATAAAAAATATATACGATGTGTTAAAAATATCACTTAACATCTTTGTCAGAGGAAAATTTGTAAAATTTTAAGAAATAATATCAATCGAATCTCTCGTGACAAGGATTCTAACTAAACTATTTTTTTTGTCAACACTCCAATTATACCTTTAGAATTTAAAAAATCTAATGTATATGACCTTGAAAACATTTAGTAGATACTTATAAGAGTTATATTGCGTGTTATTTAAAACATCGTAAGTTTGATATTCATTTTTTTAGATGAAGGATAATGTTACAAAATTGGCGAGAGTGTGTATTTTGGCAGAAACCCCTTAAATCAAAAATAAAAGTGGACATTATCAACTTAATTATATAATCTACTTCAAATATTGAACTTTTAATTTTGGAAAATAACATATAATAAAGTTTCACAAATAAATGTTTTTGCCATTTGTCCAATTTTACTTTTCTCTTACATAGAAAATATTTTCTTTTGGCAATCTAGCAAATATTTTCTTTTCTATAGAGTGTAATCTGATCACAATAAATAGCCATTTATGAAAAGAAATCATATTTTTCTATATTTTAAATTTTAAAGGATAAAGTTTAACAAATGGCCTTTGTGTAGTAATATCCGACTTTTTTTTTGGCCATATAGCAAATATGTTACCTTTATACAGTGTAATCTAATCAAAATAAATCGCCATTATGAAAAGAAATAAATTTTTTTGTATTTGTTGTCCAATATGAATATTGTAGATTTTTGTTTGGTGATTAAACTCAATTTAAAGATTCATCAAATCAAACAAAAGTTGATCTTCTTATTAAAATATAAACTTTACTACTAAATAGTTTAAAATTTTTAAAATACCTTTTTATAATATCCCTTTTCAAAAATGCCTTCATATGTTGTCCATTTTCAATTACATCCTTTTGATAATGTTTTATAAAGTTTTTAGAAGGTTTTTAAATGTTTTATAAAGGTTTTAGAAAGTTTTTAAAAGTTTTACAAAGATGATTTAGGAGTCCAACTACATAAGCCGTTAGGGACATCAAATAATTTTTTGAAAAGGTTATATGAGGGCATTTTTGAAAAAGTTTATCATAATAGAGGCATTTCTCAAAAATTATCTATTTAAAAGCACATGTAAATTAGTATATATAATAATTTTATTTTGTGAAATTTTTCTGTTTGATTAAAAAAAGAAAGTTAAAATTTTTATATGTGTTACAATCTAATCTATAGATTTAACACATATCGTGTTCATGTTAATGACTAACTTTATAACCAAGTTTTATATAATAAGATTCAGAGATGATACTGAAGAATATATATGAATATTTTTTTTAATTTAAACTACATAAGAAAATTTAACACACAAAATGTCAAAAGAAAAAGAAAAAGAAGAAAAGACTCTTTAGCCCCAAAAAAAATGTCAAAAGAAAAGACTCTTTCCCAAAAGCCAGTGATGATGATTCTCTATAAAAGGAATACTTCTCTATGCACTAGAGATAACCAAATTTATAATACAAAACAAAACAAAACAAAAAAGAAACAAGAATCGATGGAGACAATGAAGGTTGAAACAATCGCTAAAGAAATCATAAAACCATCTTCCACAACTCCAAATGATCTCCGAACTCTCCAACTCTCTATTTATGATCACATTCTCCCTCCTGTTTACACAGTCGCATTTCTCTTCTACACAAAAGATGACTTGATCTCTCCAGAACACAGTTCCCAAAAACTCAAGACTTCTCTGTCCGAAACCTTGACCAAATTCTACCCTCTTGCTGGCAGAATCAACGGCGTCACCATAGATTGTAACAACGAAGGAGCTGTTTTTGTTGACGCTCGTGTCAATAACTGTCCTCTCTATGATTTCCTGAGATCTCCGGATTTCAAAACCCTCCAGCAGTTACTTCCTCTGGACGTCATCGATGATCCTTACGAGGCAGCTACTACATGGCCTTTGCTGCTAGTGAAGGCGACTTACTTTCCATGTGGTGGCATGGCCATAGGAATCTGCATCACTCACAAAATCGCGGACGCAACCTCCATCTCGACTTTCATTCAGTCTTGGGCTGTTATGGCTCGAGGAGAGGCTGGCGACGCAGTGGCCGGTCCCGAGTTTGCGGCAGCAAATTTCTACCCACCAGCCAATGAGTTATTTAAGTTTCCGGTTGATGAAAATGCCAACAAGATAAGTAGAATAACGAAGAGATTCGTGTTCAGTGCGTCCAAGTTGGAAGAGCTCAGGACCAATGCCGCTAGTGAAGACTTTGTAGCCCGACCTACACGGGTGGAAAGCGTCACTGCACTTCTTTGGAAAGCCATCGTTGAAGCTGGATCCTCAAACAATAATGCTTGTGATATGAAGGTCTTGATCCAGCCCTCTAACTTGCGCCCCAAGATACCGTCCCTTCTACCTGAAAGCCTGATTGGAAATATAATGTTCTCTTCTGTCGTCTTGAGTATTAGTCAAGAAGAGGAAGTTAAAATTGAAAAGGCCGTTAGAGACTTACGAAAAAAGGGAGATGACTTGCAATATGTAATCAAAGACGAGGGTGGGTCTTCTTCTTCGATGATTGGTTCTAAACTAGCAAATTTAATGCTCACCAATTATTCGCAGTTGAGCTATGAAACTCACGAGCCCTACACCGTGAGTAGCTGGTGCAAATTACCTCTTTATGAGGCAAGTTTTGGATGGGGATCACCGGTTTGGGTTGCCGGTAATGTGGCTCCCATGTTAGACAACGTAACTATGTTGATTGATTCCAAGGACGGACAAGGAATTGAAGCGTTTGTCACATTGCCTGAAGAGAACATGATGTCTTTCGAGCAGAACACAGAACTCCTAGCCTTTGCTTCCGTTAATCCTAGTGTCTTGATCTAATTAATTTATTTATGTAATGATCAGGAACAGATCTAGAAAAATTTGTTCACTGAAGGCAAAAATATAACAAAAAAAATTAAACATTAAATATCAAATAAAACATTAAATTGTCATATGAAAACCTTAAAACATCTTATAAATTTGCTCAATTATCATTTAAAATTTTTATTACTTTTCATTTGTGACAGATTCAAACAGCTACTTTTTAAGATAGCAAACGAGACAATCACTTAAACTGATCTCCAATTCGATTGCGTGCAGCCGTTTTCCCCAGTTTCGTTGTAGAGAAATATCTCTAAACATTTGTTGTAGCAACTCGTAAAGTTAAGACTAACATCAATAGCCTGTAAACCAAAAAGATACGCAAGATATTAAATGTGAAAGATCTCTAATATTTTTTAGATTCTTAAATCGTTCATCTCTGTGCATATTGTCAGTGTAGATATATATTAAGCTATTGCTCAAGAGACAAAATTTCTATGTAGCTGAAGTTATCTAGATAAAACTTAACCAACATCACCAATTTCGCCTTGTCAAATTCACGGAATGAATCAAGAGGACTTAAATAAGCAATGCAAATAAGTAGATCGGTGGTTACCTTCATAAAACGATCACTGAACTCTTGAACCTGCAAATCTAAAATAGTGCAAAAATAGTTGACTTTATACTAATGCATGTTAGTTATATTGGTTATGAATTTTGGTTTCTTTGGATCAACAAAGACTTCCTCCATGCCAAGCATTTAAACATTAAGTTTTTGGCAAAAAGATGAAACTTTATTCATAAGTGAATCCCATCCATCATCCCTAAGCTTATGCAATTCTCCCTTAGTAGATTCTATCAATAACGTGGCATTCAAAATATCTTGATCTCTTGTTTGCAAACAAATCAACAAATTCTCTGTTAATCCCAAAATAAGTAGCACTAAATGCATATAGAATACACAATCAAAAGTGTGTGAAAGTACTTGAGAAGACTTTATGCTTGACGTTTTTATGAGTCTTCGATATCTTCTTTTGGATATTTATGCACTTCAATGGTAGAAGAAATTTCAGCTTAAGGAAATATCATTTGCAATAAAGTGATGTCATGTTGTAACCATGTTTTTTCACTGTACTGGTGAAGGCGATGATCCTTTTACTCAACCTCGGGCAATGACTAAAACATATTCATAATTATTTGGACATACTTTGGTTAAGTTGTTTATTCAGTAGATACATAAATTGGAACTCAACATATATAGAGTATAATTTTTTGTAGTATTCATAATTTCTTACAAAGTTCTTTTCTTACTTTATTTATTCATTAGACAAAGACAACTATATTACTACTGCTTCTTACAAGACCTTTAAATATATATAACCAACGACCTCAAATGGTATATAACCACTCTAATACCCATCCGAATCATGTACGTGGGTGTCTTTTGAGAATTGAACATCACATCCACGAGGAAACATAAGCATATAGCTTCGAGTTACTGTGACCTCTGCTTTCATTGACCACCTACAAAAAATATAGATGGAAGTAATGAGTTTAACTATAGTAACAAATAAATTGTTGACAAAAAAAAAAGAATTGAATCATGAATCATATATCAGATGATGAAAAAAAACCTATATCTACACAAATGGTGTAGAAAAATGGCCATCAACAGCTTAGCAAAGTAAGCCCCAACACAAAGTCTAGGACCAGCTCCAAAGGGAATGTAATTCTTGGAGACTATCGCGTCCAAGTCTTTTCCCTGTTAACAAAATTTGATATATGTTAGAATTTGATTAGTGAAATAGGGAGATAATAGTTCAAGGATGAAGATCAAATTTAAATCACCTTCCAACGCCACGGATTAAATACTAAAGGATCCTCGTACTTTTTTGGATCGAAATGGGCACTAGGATAGCCCATGAAGTTCCAACCCGCTGGAATTGTATAATCACCGACTTCAATGTCATGATCAGGTTTTCTAAGAATTACAGGCACTGTGGTTGAGATCCTAAGAGACTCATTGATCACCTGAAATAAAATACCATATTTGTGTGAGCTACTACATTATATATGACAAGGTTTCTTAGGATTTACCAATTGAAAATAGTAAATCTTAGATATTCTATATCACATATATTGATTTTTGTGCACATACTTACCATATTGGTGAACGTCATCGATTTATAGTCTTCCCATGTTAGGCCACTCTCATTCTCAGACTTATTTCCAAAAATTATTGCATGCTCTCTCTGAAGCTCTTGCTTGACTTTAGGATTTTCACTTATGAGCTTCACGGTCGCCGCAAGAATCCGTGGCGTTGTTTCATTAGCAATCACAAAGAAGGTATATATGTACTCAATCAAATTCTCCATGCTCATTGTTTCCTTTTCTCCTTCTATTTCTCCAAATATGGTCTTAAAGAACTCCCCAAACTCCTCTCCGGCTTCTCTCTTCTTCAACACTTCCTCCTTTAGCAACTTCTTCATCCTTTTTCTCGCCTGCCACGAGAAACATCACCATCACGGCATCCATTTTTTTGCACCAAAGCTTATTCATATATAGTTCTAGTAAGATTACTGAATACTTACCTTCATCATATTATAGACACCTGACCCAGGAAAGTTGAAAGGGAGCCGAAACCAGCCACTCGGAAAATATCTCCAACATATGGCGAGTTTTTTCGCCGCCTCTGGTTCCATCTCGCCCATAACTTTATTTGCAAGGCATTCAATTAAGATCTGCAACGTAATGATACAAATACTTTTGAGATAATAAGAAATCTTATAAACCTTATCTAGTTGATTGTAATAAGACATAAAGACAGCGTAACATATATTACTTTGCTTGTTGTTTCCTTGACGTCAAGTGAGCCATTCCTAGATCCTTCTTCCATGTGTGTGCGAGCCAAGAGATCAATGTTTTCCATTATCCTCAATTTTAAACTTTGTGAACCCAACATTTGGATTGTCAAGTTCCGGACATGTTTATGGGACTCTGTGCTCTGTAAAAACAAGTTGTTGTCTTCTCCAAATAGCCTTGCTATGCTCTTTGTGATACCAGGAGTACGATTTGTCTTTGCCATCTCCATATTCAATTCATTATCCATTGAGATTATAACTTTGCCTCCGAATAAGCTTGTCCGAAAAACCGGTCCATGTCTATATATATTTTCCAAAAAAACATAAAGACAACGTAACCTAAGTAAGTTAGGAGAGATTAAAAAAAATATTTCTAACCATGCATGCCATAAAAAATAAGCAAAAGAACCTGAGGACTCTCTTCTTGAGGAATGTTGAAAACTGAAGAGCGTCATGATGCTTCATGAACTCAATAGTTTCTCCAATGATCGGATAACCCATTGTCCCTGGAGGAAGTTTTCCATTACACTTTGGATTGCTCCATTGATAGATCAAATGACATAGCTTCACCACTATGAGTGAAACTATCACTATCCATAGGTTATAAACATCTACCATATTAATTTCTTTCTTTCAACTATTTTGGATATGTTTGTTTTATGGTTTATGGTTGCATGATTATATGAGGGAGGAACTCTCTATTTATACTTGCCGTTGTAATGTACCTTTTAATGTTTCTTTCTCTTAATTATTTTAACGTATTTCTTTAAATTAAATAATTTTAAATCATATCGTGGAAACATAAATATTTTTTCTCTTTTCTGAAACGTGACAATGAACTTTTGTTATCCGGTCTTGTACCTCATTTACAGATTCAACGTTTTCTTCATAAAGAAAAGTTAAAGCAAGTTCTTTTAGTTATAGATTCAACATTCAACATTTAACATTTAACATTCTTAGAAACAGAGAGAGTATAAAGCATCATTTTTATTTACATTTATTGGTTTTAGATTTTTATTTAATAACTAAATTTTAAAGTTGTGGATTCTTCTCTTCCCCGGCTAACCAATCTTGAATGTTGAATCAAATCGTGGAAACATAACTTGTTTTGCTCTTTTCTAAAACGTGACAATGAACTTTTGTTATCTAGTCTCTACGTCATTTACAGATTCAAGATTTTCTTCATAATGAAAAGTTAAAGCAAGGTCTTCCCCGGCCATAACTAGTGTCTCTTCTTGGTTTACATTAAAATATGCATATTTTTGAATCTTAGGTAAGACTGACGAGTGTGATCTTTTTGGTTTACATTAATATATGCATATTGCCAATGACTTTTGAATCTTAGGTAAGATTGACGAATGTGATATTTTTGGTTTACATTAATATATGCATATTGCCAATGACTTTTGAATCTTAGATAAAACTGACGAGTGGATTCTCCATAATGCAACTAAGTTTGTTCAGGTTCCGGGTCGGCTCTATTGAACAAATCTTGATTTATCGCCATTATGGGCTAATGTGGTAATGTTTCTTGATGGTTTGCCATAAAATAAGCATAAAATAGGCATGTTGTCGATGAATCTCGAAGCCGACATGAAATTGACAAGTGGATTGACTGGTGTTTCCATTAACTTGCTTTTGGTACAATATGAATGAGTCTTCACGTTGGCTTGGTAGATTAGATTCCATTGAAAATCGTTACATTGGATGGTTTGGGGTTTTGATGATCTCTACCTTATTAACAGAAACTTCCGGTTTTATTATCCAGATCATAATCTATATGGGATTTCCTAAATTATTAATTGAAGATAAACCCCGAAGAGTCGAATAATTACAGATGAATGTTCAAAAAGAACTAAATTGTGTCAATAGAAAACTCAACATTGCTATTACCAGAATTTCCAATCCGTATGGGGATCCTAATATTCTTGCAGAATTTATAGCTGGACAATTAAAAGATCGTGTTTCTTTTCGAAAAGCAATGAAAAAAGCTATTGAATTAACTGAACAAGCGAATACAAAAGGAATTCAAGTACAAATTGCAGGACGTATCGACGGAAAAGAAATTGCACGCTAGGCAGAGTTCCTTTACAAACAAGTGAAGCTAAAATTGATTATTGTTCCTATACAGTTCGAACTATTTATGGGGTCTTAGGAATAAAAATTTGGATATTCGTAGACGAAGAATAAAAAAACTTTCTTTATCTTTACATTTTATCCGATGATAAAAAACGAAAACAATGTAGTATAACACTATACAGTAATAAAAAATTGCAGTCTTCTTTTTTATGTTTAAGAATAAAATCAGCAATTCTATAAGATTGAATAAAAATTTCCATCAAAACTACTTTGATATAATTGCTATGCTTAGTGTGTGACTCGTTGGTTTAGGATTAGATTAAGATAAAAAAAAAAAAAAAGAAAAAAGAAATTACCTATAACAAAAACTAATAACTATAGCATTAATAAATAACCTAAGCAACTCATTGCTTCACATTATCTGGATAAAAAAATCAGTCAAGATATGATAGATTGATCATATCATTGTAGCAACTGAAAAAAAAAAAAGAAATATGATTATAAGTTATGAAAAGTAATCGAAAGGTATGCGGATAAGTGGAAGGATAAAAGAAAGAGAGAAAAAATTGAATATTAATGATATATTATTCCAATTTGGAAAGTCTATGAGGTCACTGTAAGAAAAGCAATGTAATACATCATCAATACAGATTCATTCATAATAATTAGATAAATCTGTTCCGAAAAAATAAATAAATTAAGAGCCTTGAGCCAATAAAAACTGAGAAAATTGACTCAAAAACAAATTAAAAAATGAAATTCCCAATTTCATATAAGAGCTCCATTGTAGAATTCGGGCCTAATGATTAATCAAGAAGCGATGGGAACGACGGAACCCATGAATATAGAGGATTCTATTGAAAAACAAATCTTAGTAATTCATTGGACAGGATGGCGGAATAAACCAGACACTTTATTATCTATTCTGATTTTTATTCAGAGATCTCCTGGGATAAACATCCAACTTAATATAGATATTGAAAGAGTAAATATTCGCCAGCGAATTTTTTTTTAAATAAAAGTAATAAAATACGAAAAAAAAATTAAAAAGATAAAAGAAAATAAGGATTTGTTAGAATATTCTAACGCTAATAAAAACGACATTCGAGATGATGATATTACGTTATTTTTAAATAAATAGAATTCATTTTGGATTCGATTTCGAAAAAGACATACACAAATTTAGAAGAAATCAGATGAAATTTAATACCATGATTAATAGAATTAATCATTAACTACATCTATATCTTAATACAAGCTTTTTTATTCCTTTTATTCGCGAGGAGCTGGATGAGAAGAAACTCTCACGTTCAGTTCTATAGTAGAGATGGAATTTCTAATTTAGAACCATCAACTATAACCCAAAAAGAACCAGATTTCGTAAACAACATCGAGGAAGACTAAAAGGAATATCTTCTCGTGGGAATCATATTTGTTTTGGCAGATATGCTCGTCAAACACTTGAACCCGCTTGGATCACATCTAGACAAATAGAAGCAGGGCGACGAGCAATGACACGAAATGTACGACGTGGTGGAAAAATTTGGGTACACTACAAGAAATTTGTTCATTGATAGCATAACGTAATAGCATGGATTACTCAACTGCTATTGAAAATTATTTACAAATTTTGTTTTCGTATGATAGCGTTTTATAAATGCTAATAAATAAATTTAATAATATAGAAAGGTTTTAACGCTATGATAGAATTCCAGCGAAACACTTAAAGAATATTTTTTCTTTTTGCGAACAGACTAATTTTTCCCCTCTTTGCTCGAGAAAACCCTAAGACTTAACCACACTCTCTCAAACCGACGAATCGATTCCTGGAGCCACCGATTGAACTCGCCACCGCCGTCGTTGAAGTTAGCCGCCGTCAAAGCCGTAGCTGCGACATAAAACCTGATTTTGGCCCTAATTCTCTGATTAAACCATCTCTCTGAGTCCGAAATCGAAGGCATGTCTCTCTGAATCTGTATATTTATTTTTTCCCTTTCGTTAACCTAGCTAGACTTCTTTTAGCTGTCGTGAAGCTCGAGAACTGTTTTGTTTCTTAAAGTCTGGATTTAAGGGTTTCTCTGATTCGATTCTTCAAAGTTTTTGTCTTTTGCATGTCCGTGTTCTTTGCTTCATTAGAACTATTTGTTTGTGTGGTTTGATTTAGGCGTAGCTTGATAAATAGGATGCACAATTTTGCTTTCGGAAATCTTAGATTTTTAGATAACTTGTATTGACCTATTCTCGAGATTTAGAAGTTTTTGTTGACATTCTATTACAACTATTTGTATTGACTTGTTCTTATTGTCGGATACAATTGGTTGGTATTGTAAGTTCTGACTTTTTGTATTGATCTGTTATCTGAATCTTTAGATCTTTTAAGTGCTTTTCTAACACATTCTTGCATTACCAAACACTTGAAACTAGATATACTCATTCTCTCATTTTGTTTTGCAAGTGTTGCTGTTTGAAGTAATGGGAATTTGAAGGTTATCTTTGGTTCTTATTACACGACAGGTTAGACCATCTTTTCCTTTGTCTTGTACATTACTGTGTTTGCTATGTGATTGGTAATAGATATTTTACTTTAATTAATCGTTTTAAATATGGTTATATGTGTTTGACATATGCTTTGATATGGTCTGAGATTAGTTTATCTGCATAAAATTTGTGTTTGATTTATTAATTAGTCTGAATATTAAGTGATCCTGTGATGTGTGAAGACTCTTTCATTAAATCTGAATAAGTTTTTATATCACATATGCTTTGATCTTGTCTGAGATTGAGTTATATATATTGTTTACATTGAGTTAAAATTTGAGTTTGCTTAATTTGTTAATTAGTCTGAAAAGTAAGTGGTTTTGTGATGTGTTTAGACTATTTCATTAAATCTGACTTAGTTCTTTTATCACATATGCTTTGATCTGATTTGAGTTTGATTTAGTTAAAATCTGAGTTTGATTTATTTGTTAATTAGTCTGAATATTACTGTGTGATGTGTGTAGACTCTTTAATTAAATCTGAATAAGTTTTTATATCAATAAAGGTTTTAATTACGGTTACATTATAAAATGGTGGACAAGGGTTGGGTGCACCTTTGCAGGTAAGATTTTTTTTATATATTTTATTAGGAAATTTGGAGACTTTGCTTGTTTTTTTTTCTTCTTTTTTCTCTTTTAACTCTTCATCTTATATGAAGAGTTGATCCTGCTTATGAGAGAGGGGCTGCAAACTTTGTATGGACTGTGGCTGCGGCAATGGGAGACGTTGATATGATTGTATGTCCTTGCATTGATTGTCGTAATATAGATCGTCACTCAGCCAGTGTTGTAGTTGATCATCTTGTAAGAAGGGGAATGGACGAGGCTTACAAGATGCGGTCTGATTGGTATCATCATGGAGAATTGAATCCAGTGGTTGGAGGTGAAAGCAATCAAAATCAGTGGAATGATGAAATTGTTGGGTTATATCAAGCAGCTGAATATTTGGATGAAGAGTTTGCTTCCAAAGTTGAGATTGCAGAGGGTTTGG